CAGCAGCAGATGCAGCAGCAGCAGATGCTGCAGCAGCAGAACATACGAAGACTGCTTCAGAAGCACACCCTGCAGGCGCAGCAGCAGCAGCAGCAACAGCAGCAGCAGCAGCAGCAGCAGCAGGGTCGTCAGCTTCATCATCACCACCACTACAGCCACAACTACCATCATCAGCAGCAGCAGCAGCAGCAACAGCAACAGCAGCAACAGCAGCAGCAGCTTCATCGCCACGATCAGCACCACCATCACCAGCAGCAACACCAGCAGCAGCAGCTGCAGCAGCTGCAGCAGCAGCAGCAGCAGCAGCATCACCACCACCCTCACCACCATCCTCCCCATCATCAGCAGCAACATCAACAGCAACACCAGCAACAGCAGCAGCAGCAACAGCAGCAGCAACAGCAGCAACAGCAGCAGCAACAGCAGCAACAGCAGCAACAGCAGCATCACCACCATCATCACCCCCATTGCCCCCCGCCTCCTCTTCTTCTTCTGTCTCTTCTTCATCTGTCTCTTCTTCTGTCTCTTCTTCTTCTCTGTCTCCTCCCCCCTCTTCTTCTGTCTCTGTCTCTCCTTCTGTCTCTTCTTCTGTCTCTGTCTCTTATCCTTTATCTTCTTCTCTTTCTCCTTCTTCTCTATCTTCTTCTGTCTCTTCTTCTTCTTCTCTGTCTCCTCCTTCTGTCTCATCTTCTCTTTCTTCTTCTCTTTCTTCTTCTGTCTCTTCTCCCCCCTCTGTCTCTTCTTCTTCTTCTTCTTCTCTCTCTCCTTCTTCTTCTGTCTCTTCTTCTTCTCTATCTGTCTCCTCTCCTGTCTCCTCTTCTGTCTCCTCTTCTCTTTCTGTCTCCTCACCTCTTTCTGTCTCTTCTCTCTCTCCCCCCTCTTCTTCTTCTCTCTCTGTCTCCTCTTCTCCTTCTCTTTCTTCTCTTTCTCCTTCTCCTGTCTCCTCTTCTTCTGTCTCCTCTTCTTCTGTCTCCTCTTCTTCTCTCTCTGTCTCTTCTTCTTCTCTCTCTGTCTCCTCTTCTTCTTCTTTCCCTCGCCATCTTTCTTCTTTGCTTGTATGTGTCCCCGAATCAATAATATATTCATTAGGTCGTATATCTTCATCTATATTATTATTATATTTATATAAAACATGCAGAGAAATAAAAACAAAAAATAATATAAAATTATTCTCTTCTCGTTGGCGTAGTGGTTGTGAGGGTGTATATTTAGATTTTAATAAAAATATATGGAGAGTACAATACAACACAGAAGAAGGAAAAAGAAAAACAAAAAGTTTTAATATACATTTCTTCGGGGGGATAGATAACGCTAAGCTAGCTGCTGTTTTCTTTCGTCTTAAGCTGCTGCATAATCAGCAGCTGCTGCAGCATAAGATGCTGCAGTTTGCTGCTCTCTGTAC